CCGCGGGGTCCCGGCCGCCCTCGGCCCCTCAGGGCCCCTCCGTGTCCTCCACGCCCCCGGTGTCCCCCCGTCCCCTCACGGCCCGCCGGGTCCCGCTCCCTCCCCCGCCGCCTCACGGACACCCCCGGGGCCGCTGCCGCCCCGTCCCCCGCCGTGCCGCGGACACCCCCGACCCCCCGGTCCCCTCAGAGCCCCCGCCATGTCCCGGTGCCCCCCCCGGTCCCTCACGGCCCCTCCCCGGTGTCCCCCCCCCCCCCCCCTCACCGAAGCTCTGATGGCGGCGCGCCGGCCTCCTCCGTCCCCGTGCGGTACGGCGTCGCGCGGGCCCCGCCACCCGCATCCATTGGTCGCGCCGCCCGCCGCCCCCGCGCTCATTGGCCTCGGCCCGCTCCGCGCCGCGCGAATCGCGCCTCCCATTGGTGGGCGAACGCCTGTCGCTCACCGCGGCCCCCGCTCAGCGATTGGCGGACGCGGGTGTCCAGCTTACGAAGCAGGACGTGGGCCGCCGCGGCTCGCTCTTGTGATTGGCCGCGTGGGGGCGGGCTTGAGCCGCGTTAGGGACCATAGCGCGGGGGCGCGACCCTCTTCGCTGGCCACGCCCCATCCGCAGCGGCGCCGGTTTTCCATTGCTTGGTGGTGTGGAGACCCACGCCCCGTGGGGCGGGCGCGCGGGTGCCCTCACGTGGACGCCCCGGGAAGGGCGGGGTCCACCCACAGGTGACACATGTGGGGGGGTCCCTCGTGTGTCCCCCACCAAACGTGACACACACGTGACACACACCTGACACACACGTGACACAGGTGGGTGACCCCGCCCTTCCCGGGGCGTCCACGTGAGGGCACCCCGCGCGCCCCGCCCACGGGGCGTGGTCTCCACACCACCAGCCAATGGAAACCGGCGCCGCTGCCGGAGGGGGCGTGGCCAGCGACAGAGGTCGCGCCTCCCGCGCTATTGGTCCTAAGCCGGCTCAGCCCGCCCCCACGCCGGCCAATCACAAGAGCGGAGCCGCGGCGGCCACGCCTGCTCGTCAGCTGACACCCGCGTCCGCCAATCGCTGAGCGGGGGCCGCGGTGAGCGACAGCCGTCGCCCACCAATGGGAGGCGCGATTCGCGCGGCGCGGGCCGCGGGCCAATGAGCGCGGGGGAGGCGGGGCGGCGCGACCAATGGGAGCGCGGGGGCGGGGCCCGCGCGACGCCGTTACCGCCCGGGAAGGAGGAGGCGGCGCCGCCATCATGAGCTACGGTGAGGGGGGGGGGGACACCGGGGGGGGGCCGTGAGGGACCGGGGGGGGCACCGGGACATGGCGGGGGCTCTGAGGGGACCGGGGGGTCGGGGGTGTCCGCGGCACGGCGGGGGACGGGGCGGCAGCGGCCCCGGGGGTGTCCGTGAGGCGGCGGGGGAGGGAGCGGGACCCGGCGGGCCGTGAGGGGACGGGGGGACACCGGGGGCGTGGAGGACACGGAGGGGCCCTGAGGGGCCGAGGGCGGCCGGGACCCCGCGGGGTCTCTGAGGGGCTGGGGGGGGTCGGGACCGGGAGGGGCCGGGGGTGTCCGTGACCGCGGGGACCGTGAGGGACGCGGCGGGCTGGGGATGGAGCCGAGCCCCGGCCCGGGGTCAGCGCGGCCCCGGAGGAGCCTCCGAGCACGGTCCGGTTCTGACTGGGACTGGGACAGGGACAGACCCAATTCCTGATGGGAATGGGACAGGGACAGACCCAATTCCTGGTGGGAATGGGACAGGGACAGACCCAATTCCTGGTGGGAATGGGACAGGGACAGACCCAGCTCCTGGTGGGAATGGGACAGGGACAGACCCAATTCCTGGTGGGAATGGGACAGGGACAGACCCAATTCCTGATGGGACAGACCCAATTCCTGATGAGAACAGGACAGACCCAGTTCCTGGTGGGAATGGGACAGGGACAGACCCAGTTCCTGGTGGGAATGGGACAGGGACAGACCCAATTCCTGGTGGGAATGGGACAGGGACAGACCCAGCTCCTGGTGGGAATGGGACAGGGACAGACCCAGCTCCTGGTGGGAATGGGACAGGGACAGACCCAATTCCTGGTGGGAATGGGACAGGGACAGACCCAATTCCTGGTGGGACAGACCCAATTCCTGATGAGAACAGGACAGACCCAGTTCCTGGTGGGACTGGGACAGGGACAGACCCAGTTCCTGATGGGACAGACCCAATTCCCGGTGGGAACAGCACAGACCCAATTCCTGAGGGGACAGGGACAGGGACAGACCCAACTCCTGATGGGAACAGGACAGACCCAATTCCTGATGGGAACAGCACAGACCCAATTCCTGAGGGGACAAGGACAGGGATAGATCCAATTCCTGAGGGGACAGGGATAGATCCAATTCCCGAGGAGACCTGGGACAGGGACAGGGACAGACCTAATTCCTGGGATAGACCCAATCCCTGATGGGTCCAGGGACTGGGACAGACCCAGTCCTTGATGGACTTGGGACAAGGACAGACCCGATTCCTGATGGGACCAGGGACAGGGATAGATCCAGTTCCTGAGGGGACCAGGGACAGGGATAGATCCAGTTCCTGAGGGGACCTGGGACAGGGATAGATCCAGTTCCTGAGGGGACCAGGGACAGGGATAGATCCAGTTCCTGAGGAGACCTGGGACAGGGATAGATCCAGTTCCTGAGGGGACCAGGGACAGGGATAGATCCAGTTCCTGAGGAGACCTGGGACAGGGATAGATCCAGTTCCTGAGGGGACCAGGGACAGGGATAGATCCAGTTCCTGAGGGGACCAGGGACAGGGATAGATCCAGTTCCTGAGGGGACCTGGGACAGGGATAGATCCAGTTCCTGAGGGGACCAGGGACAGGGATAGATCCAACTCCTGAGGGGACCTGGGACAGGGACGGGTCTGATTCCTGATGGGACCAGGACAGACCCAATTCCTGATGGAACTGGGACCAGACCCACTTCCTACCAGATCCTGGATTTATTTCCCACTCCAGTTCCACTCAGCCCCCCCCCCCCCATTTCCACTCCAACCCCCACCTGTCCCTCCCCTCTGTGCCCATTTAATGTCATTTGGCCTTTTTTCCCCCCCTTCATTTTGCCATTTTTATTCCTTTTCTGGCTCCTGGAGCGGCCTCTCTTCCCCTGGGGCAGGGATTCCCCTCTGCATTCCATGGGAACGCTTGGCTGAGGCTGGAGCGGTGACACGCTGGGGCAAAGAGAGGGGAAATTAATTAATTAGTTCATTTTTGTGATGGGGGGGCCACTAATTAAGGACAAAATCCCACCAGGAACCTCCAGGTAACATCCCAGGACAAGGAGAGCCAGGACAGGGCACAGGAATGTCGGTCCTGGGATGGCAGGAATGGGATAAAACTTCCCCAAAGCGTCCCGATTCCCCCATTTTAGGCAGGAATTGGGCCTTTCCCGTCGTTTCCACTCCCAAAATCCTCAGCCCTGGAAACTCTTCCCAAGAGCTGGGCTTTGAATTCCAACCTGGGGGGGTTTTGTTGCCCCCAAAAGGTGCTTTTGTGGGGCTGGGGCGACCTCAGAGGGCTGATTCCTGCCAGATTGGGTGGAAAACTGGTGGATTTGGGGCTCTGGGACTGTCCCTGATTGCTTTGGGCTCTTTTCTAGGTTATGGAGACTGGAATTCGGGCACGAGCAGAGGCAAGTGTGGGATGTTCCTCCCTCCCCCTCCGGAGCCTTTCCCGGGATGCTCCGGGTCGGTGACGTGGCCCTGACCCCCCACGGCCTCTCCCACTGACCATTCCCCCCTTTTTCTTTCCCAAATTCCCACCGGAGCCGACGGAAAATGGCGTTGCTGGAACGGGAAAACTGTTCTGGGCAGAATATTTGGGGGTTTTGGGGGGTTTTCCTCTCCAAACAAACGTTGGAGAGGCAGCAGATCCCAAATTCCCCCTCGGCACAAAATAAAAGCCCGAGGGAGAAAAGCCCAAATTTTAAGGTGTTTAAACTAAAAAAAAAAAAAAAAAAAGCTGGGAACACATCTTGGATATTTTGTGTCGTGCCCATGGTTATTCCCATCCCAGTTATTCCCATCCCAGTTATTCCCATCCCGGTTATTCCCATCCCAGTTATTCCCATCCGTGGTTATTCCCATCCCAGTTATTCCCATCCCAGTTATTCCCATCCCAGTTACTCCCATCCCAGTTATTCCCATCCCAGTTATTCCCATCCCGGTTATTCCCATTCCAGTTATTCCCATCCCAGTTATTCCCATCCCAGTTATCCCCATCCGGAGCCGTCGGATGGAGGCTCTGCCTGGAGTTTTTTTGGGATCTGTACGAGGAAATCGTTCCCTAAAACCTTTGGGAGCTCAAAGGTTGAAAATCCCGGGTGAATTAAACAGAAAATTGGGGTTTGTTGTTGTTTGGCTTTTTTCAATAATTTTGACTTTGAACGGAAACCGCGGCCGGGAACGATCCCGACTCCCGGCTCTTCCCGGCTCTTCCCGACTCCCGGCTCTTCCCGTCGCTCCAGGTTACGAGGGCTACAATTATGGCTACGGCTACGGGCAGGACAGCTCGGGGGGGTACGGCTACGGCGTGGCCGCCGGCAATTCCTGGGAAATGGGCAACTCCGACGCCGACGCGGCGCCCGAGAGCGGCGACGGCCTCGGCAAGATGAGCCAGCGGCTGGACGTGGGATCCCACCCGGATTCCGAGGGGATGCCGGGGGGACGCTACGGAGCCGTCGGGGACAGGTGAGTCCCGCCCCCCCCCTTCCTGCCTTTCCCAGCTGGAAAATTGGGGCTGACGCCGACTTTTCATCCCCGTCTCGCCAAACAAAAAACCCCGTCCCTCCAACCCAACCCATTCCACGATCCCGTGGGATCTCACCCGGGGCCACGGCTCAGGGGTGGACATGGCGGTGCCGGGTTGATGGTTGGAGATCCTTCCAACCCAACCCGTTCCATGATCCCGTGGGATCTCACCCGGGGACGCGGCTCAAGGGTGGACATGGCGGTGCCGGGTTGATGGTTGGAGATCCTTCCAACCCAACCCATTCCATGATCCCGTGGGATCTCACCCGGGGATGCGGCTCAGGGGTGGACATGGTGGTGCCGGGTTGATGGTTGGACTGGATGGTCTTGGAGGTCCTTCCAACCTGAACCGTTCCACGATCCCGTGGGATCTCACCTGGGGACACGGCTCAGGGGTGACCACGGTGGTGGGTGGATGGTTGGACTGGATGATCCTGGAGGTCCCTCCAGCCCAACCCGTTCCACGATCCCGTGGGATCTCACCCGGGGACGCGGCTCAGGGGTGGACATGGCAGTGCCAGGTTGATGGTTGGACTGGATGGTCTTGGAGGTCCTTCCAACCTGAACTGTTCCACGATCCCGTGGGATCTCACCTGGGGCCACGGCTCAGGGGTGACGAGGGCAGTGCTGGGTTGATGATTGAACTCAATGATCTTTGAGGTCCTTCCAACCCAACCCATTCCACGATCCCGTGGGATCTCACCTGGGGACGCAGCTCAGGGGTGACCACAGTGGTGGGTGGATGGTTGGACTGGATGGTCTTTGAGGTCCTTCCAACCCAACCCGTTCCACGATCCCGTGGGATCTCACCCGAGGACACGGCTCAAGGGTGGACATGGCGGTGCCGGGTTGATGGTTGGAGATCCTTCCAACCCAAACCATTCCACGATCCCGTGGGATCTCACCCGGGGACGCGGCTCAAGGGTGGACATGGTGGTGCCGGGTTGATGGTTGGAGATCCTTCCAACCCAACCCGTTCCACGATCCCGTGGGATCTCAGGGCCGTTTCTCCCGCAGGTACGACCCGTACGAGTCCTACGACTCGAGGTCCTCCCTGAACGACCGCGACCTGTATCGGCCGGGCTACGACTACAACGACTACAACGACTACAACGATTACAACGATTACAACGATTACAACGATTACAATGATTACAACGATTACAATGATTACAACGATTACAACGATTACAATGATTATAACGACTACAACGACTACAACGACTACAACGACTACCACGACTACACGGAGTCGGAGCAGGACAACGACGGCGCCTACGAGGGCCCCTACGAGCCCTTCCCCGGGGCCCGGCGGGAGCAGTTCCCGGGCCGGGCGCGGGACGGCTTCGGGCAGCGCGGGCAGGGCTGGGGCCGGGACGGGCGGCCCTCGGGGCCCTTCCCCGGGCGCGGGGCCTGGCACGAGCCCCGCGGGCCCCCCGGCGCCAAACGCCTGCCCTCCCTCTTCTCCCACAACATCCTGCCCCCCGAGCCCGGCGCCTTCCCCGCCAACGCCAGGGGCTTCCCCGGCAACGCGCGCTACGGAGGAGGGATGGTCAGGCAGAGGGTGAAGAGGAACTGGAAAATGTGGGATTGGGATTTTAAGGTGAGTCGGCCCCGCTCGGCTCGTCCCCAGTGGGGAGGGGCGTCAGAATTCCCTACAAATCCATAATTCCGGGCGCTACGGAGGGGGGAGGATGAAGAGGAACTGGAAAATGTGGGATTGGGATTTTGAGGTGAGCGGGGGTTTATAGGGGGGTGTGGGCCCAGCTCGGCTCGTCCCCGGCACACCCCAGTGGGGAGGGGCTTGAGAATTCCCTACAAATCCATAATTCCGGGTGCTATGGAGGCAGGAGGATGAAGAGGAACTGGAAAATGTGGGATTGGGATTTTAAGGTGAGTCGGCCCCACTCGGCTCGTCCCCAGTGGGGAGGAGCGTCAGAATTCCTTCCAAATCCATAATTCCTGGTGTTATGGAGGAGAGAGGATAAAGAGGAACTGGAAAATGTGGGATTGGGATTTTAAGGTGAGTCAGCCCCGCTCGGCTCGTCCCCAGCACACCCCAGTGGGGAGGGGCGTCAGAATTCCCTCCAAATCCATAATTCCGGGTGCTATGGAGGCAGGAGGATGAAGAGGAACTGGAAAATGTGGGATTGGGATTTTGAGGTGAGTGGGGGTTTGTAGGGGGGTGTCCAGCACATCCCCAGCACACCCCAGTGGGGAGGGGCTTGAGAATTCCCTCCAAATCCATAATTCTGGGTGCTATGGAGGGGGGGGATGAAGAGGAACTGGAAAATGTGGGATTGGGATTTTAAGGTGAGCAGGGGTTTATAGGGGAATGTGGGCCCAGCTCGGCTCGTCCCCAGCACACCCTGGATGATCCTCGTGGGGCCCTTCCAGCTTGGGATATTCCATGATTTTGGAGCTCAGGGAGTGTTTGGACTCGATGATCTTCATGGATCCTTTCCAAATCAGGATATCCCAAGATTTTAGAGCTCAGAGAGTGTCTGGATGAGGCTCTTGGGCACTTGTTGGGATTTCGGGCAGGGATTGGACTGGATGATCCTCAGGGGTCCCTTCCACCTTGGGACATTCCATGATTTTGGAGCTCAGGGTGTGCTTGGACAAGGCTCTTGGACACATGGTGGGATTTTGGGATGTCCTGAACAGGGATTGGACTGGATGATCCCTGTGGGTCCCTTCCAAATCCGGATATCCCAAGATTTTCGAGCCCAGGGAGCGTTTGGACGAGGCTCTCGGGCACTTGGTGGGATTTTGGGCAGGGACTGGACCGGATGATCCTCACGGATCCCTCCCAGCCGGGGACATTCCCTGATTCCCTGCTCCTCTGTGCCCTCTCCCAGCTGCAGAGGAAGAAGCTCCGGCGGGATCCGGGGGCCAGGAAGCGGAAGCAGCCGAGCAGCTCCGAGGAGCCCGACGGAAAAGCCGCCAAGACCGACGGATCCGACAATTCCGACTCGGACAACGGTGAGGGCGGAGGGGGGGGACACAAACACGGCCCCACTGCCTGGATTTGGGGTCACCTGGGATTTGGGGACACACACACAGCCCCCCCTGGGGTCACCTGGGATTTGGGGACACACACACGGCCCCCATTGGGGTCACCTGGGATTTGGGGACACACCCCCCCCCACTGCCTGGATTTGGGGATTTGGGGACACACACACGGCCCCCATTGGGGTCACCTGGGATTTGGGGACGCACACACACCCCATTGGGGTCACCTGGGATTTGGGGACACACACACCCCCCACTGCCTGGATTTGGGGATTTGGGGACACACACACGGCCCTACTGCCTGGATTTGGGGATTTGGGGACACACACACACCCCACTGGGGTCACCTGGGATTTGGGGACGCACACCCCCCCCACTGCCTGGGGTTGGGGTCACCTGGGATTTGGGGACACCTCCCTCCCCCCACTGCCTGGATTTGGGGATTTGGGGACACACACACACCCCACTGGGGTCACCTGGGATTTGGGGACACACACACACGCGGCTCCACTGGGGTCACCTGGGATTTGGGGACACACACACCCCCCACTGCCTGGATTTGGGGATTTGGGGACACACACACACGGCTCCACTGGGGTCACCTGGGATTTGGGGACACAAACACGGCCCCACTGCCTGGATTTGGGGTCACCTGGGATCTGGGGGGACACACACACGGCCCCACTGCCTGGATTTGGGGATTTGGGGACACACACACCCCCCACTGCCTGGATTTGGGGTCACCTGGGATTTGGGGACACAAACACGGCCCCACTGCCTGGATTTGGGGTCACCTGGGATCTGGGGGGACACACACACGGCCCCACTGCCTGGGTTTGGGGATTTGGGGACACACACACCCCCCACTGCCTGGATTTGGGGTCACCTGGGATTTGGGGCCACGTTTTTCGGGATGGATCCGGGCCGGGAAGGGCCTCGCCGTGCTCAGGGTGTTGTTCCTTCCAGAGGAGGGCACGGAAGGAGAGTCGGGAGACAAAGAGGAGAAGGAGGGATCCAGAGGGGTAAGGAAAGATTCCAGATGGCTTTTGTGGGATCCAGAGGGGTAAGGAAAGATTCCAGATGGCTTTTGTGGGATCCAGAGGGGTAAGGAAAGATTCCAGATGGCTTTGGGGTGGGAAAGGAGGGATCCAGAGGGGTAAGGAAAGATTCCAAATGGTTTTAGGGTGGGAAAGGAGGGATCCAGAGGGGTAAGGAAGGATTCCAAATGGCTTTGGGGTGGGAAAGGAGGGATCCAGAGGGGTAAGGAAAGATTCCAAATGGCTTTGGGGTGGGAAAGGAGGGATCCAGAGGGGTAAGGAAGGATTCCAGATGGCTTTTGTGGGATCCAGAGGGGTAAGGAAGGATTCCAAATGGCTTTTGTAGGATCCAGAGGGGTAAGGAAAGATTCCAAGTGGCTTTGGGGTGGGAAAGGAGAGATTCCAAGGGGTAAGGAAAGATTCCAAGTGACTTTGGTGGGATCCAGAGGGGTAAGGAAAGATTCCATGTGACTTTGGGGTGGGAAAAGAGGGATCCAGAGGGGTAAGGAAAGATTCCAAATGGTTTTAGGGTGGGAAAGGAGGGATCCAGAGGGGTAAGGAAAGATTCCAAGTGACTTTGGTGGGATCCAGAGGGGTAAGGAAAGATTCCAGATGACTTTGGGGTGGGTCAGAGCTCTGCTTGGTGAGGGCACATCCCGGGGTTATTCCCAAAGGGACTTGGGTTATTCCCAAAGGGAGTTGGGGGGTGGAGGCTGGAGGAGTTGGGATGGGATATTTCCAAGGGGAAAAGGCTTGGAGCCCCCGGGCTCTCCTGCCACCCTTCCTTGGAATGTAAATAAACTGGGAAAACCCCTTGGGAACGTCCCAGAAATGCTTGGAGCCCCCGGGCTCTCCTGCCACCCTTCCTTGGAATGTAAATAAACTGGGAAAACCCCTTGGGAACATCCCAGAAATGCTTGGAGCCCCCGGGCTCTCCTGCCACCCTTCCTTGGAAGATTAAAAAAAGATGGGAAAACCTTTTGGAAACATCCCATAAACTGGAGGAGCTCCATGGAGGGAAAGGCTCCATGGAGGGAAATGTGGGAATTCCAGGGGATTCCCGACCTCCCCCACCAGCCACGGCCTCCAAACACGGCGAAATTCCCGTCCCCGGGAGCCTCAATGAAGGAAAATCCCAAAAAATCAGCTCCCTGGATTTCCCGGGGTTGGGAGAGGCCAAATCCCAGGGAAATGGTGCCCAGGGAAGGGTCTGGAGCAGCTCCCAGACCTTCCCGGGGGGGTTTGACTTCCCAATGTTGTGTTTTCAGGAAGGGGAGGACGAAGAAGGAAGAGACTCCGAGAGAGGTGAGTGGGGGGTTGGGCTCCAAAGCTCCACATTCCAGGGCGGGTATCCCGATAAATCCGGGCGGATCCCGTCCTCTGGGAGCAGGGAATGCTGGAAATCCCTGCTGGGGAAGAGCAGGATCCCAAGCTTTTGGGATGGGGGAGCTGCTGGAATCGGGTCGGAGCTCCCGCCGGGCCTTGGATTGGAGTTGTTTTGGGGCTGGAAAAGATGGAATTTCCCTTCTTGGAGAGGTGGGGCTGGAAAAGATGGAATTTCCCCTCTTGGAGAGGGGGGGCTGGAAAAGATGGAATTTCCCCTCTTGGAGAGGTGGGACTGGAAAAGATGGAATTTCCCATCCTGGAGAGGTGGGACTGGAAAAGATGGAATTTCCTGTCCTGGAGAGGTGGGGCTGGAAAAGATGGAATTTCCCGTCCTGGAGAGGTGGGAGCGGCGGGAGAAGCACCACAATTCCCAAAGAAAAGCAGGAGAGGGCTGGGAAGAAACCTCCTGGTGGGACCCTGGGATGCTCCAGCAGCTCCTCCATCCCAAAAATCCACACCGGGAATGGGTTTTTCCCGGATCCCAAGTTTCTCCTCTTGTCCGGGTCCACTTGGAGGCGGAAAAATCCGAGTGGGTGGGGCTTGAAACCAGCAAATGTGGCACTAATTAGTCCTGAAACCAGTAAATGAGTCACTAATTAGTCCTCAAACCCAACAAATGTGT